GAGGTCTAGGTTTACGAGGTGGGGGCACTTGGCCTAGTGGATTCTGGGATGAATGGGGGTAGACACACAGGCCTAACCTAGTTCCTTAAGGCACTTGGCCCCAGGCTGGCCCCACTGGACTCCAGCTGATTTTCCACTATCCTATACCCTGAGGCAATATCTTGGTCTCTTCTAACTCTCTCTCCCCTTACCAGACCAAGGCATCTCCCCTAGTACCCCCACCACTCCCACCCCTTGCAGATGGATCCTCCTTCACCATCTTCCAATTGGGGGTGTCTGTCTCTGGACTGAAGCTAGACAATCATTACTACACCAGGAGTACTCCACCCAAAAGCAGGAACAGCAACAGAAACAAGAATAGTTAGAAGCTGCATAGTACTTCCCACCTTATAAAGCACTTTCACACATATGAGCTCATGGGCTCATCAAACCCTGAGTTCCAGGGGTAAAGGTGACGCGAAAACATGCCAGGCAGAAGACAGAGAAGGTGCTAGCATCCCAGAGCTAGGAGGGCTAGGGGCCTTGGAGAGAAGCCAGGGTGATGAACACCAGGGAGAAGAATGTCTCCCCTCACTCAGCTCTGGGCCTCAGCTCTAAAGAGCACTGTAGGCCTCAGGCTACAGCTGGAGAGGCGGCCTTTAGGCCTGGAGGGCCCAGGAAGGCCTTCCCCGCAGGCCTTCAGGCCCAGTGCCCAGTTACTGCGGGGCAGGCTAGTGTGGGGGCCTCCCCCTCCCCAGTCCCCTGGGAGTTGGAGGGGGGTGGGGGTGGTGGTGAGGGGATCAGCCAGGCTCCCCCTCCCAGGCCAGCTGCTACAGAACCTTCCGGCTCCAACATTCCATCCCCTCTTAAAGGGGAAGTCACTGCTTCCAAACTCCGCCTGTCCAAAGCCCTGCAGCTGGGGGAAGAAGACTCCGCCAGGGAGGGGAGGATGAACACGAGAGACCCTTCCTAGCCCTCCCATTCAGGCTCTGAGGCCTTTTCCAAGGTCTCCTCCTTGGCCACCATCTGGAGGAAAGAGGCCCTACTTCTGCGAGGGAATCTGCACCTGGGCTAGTGGGGACTCCTCCTCTGGGGCGAGGCGCCCTGCTCCCTGACAACATCCCGAACGGCCCACAGGGGACAGGGGAGACAGCTAAGTAAACATCAGAGGTGCAGGCCTTAGTTTACAGACTGAGCACCCCCCAGCCAATTCAAGGTCCCACAGCATAGCCCCTAGATGCTCCATATTCCAAATATGGCTCGGAGTTGTGAAGCTGAAAAGATGGAGAAGACGAAGGCCGAGTGCCAAACACTCTGAGCCTCTGCTATAAAGGTGGCTGCATTGGCAGGAGGGTTGGGGACTGCGCTCCGGAATGGGTGGGGGTGTGTGTGTGTCTGTCTGTGTGGGCCGCTGGTTTGAGGAGGTGAGGGAGCTTGACTGGGCTAGAACTGACTGCTTCTAGGGAGCTGAACGTCCCCTTTAAACTAGAGGACCAGGGTCCCAAACAAGAGGGGAAAGGGGAACCCCTAGAGGGGCTGAAAGTCCAGCCTCTGAAAAAGCCAACGGGGGCCGAATGGCCGCGTGGTCCCTAGAATCCAGAGTAGTGCTAGAAGCCAGCGTACAAGCTGGGGGGGGGNGGACACCCCGCCCACCCACCAGGCGGTGCTCCGCTCCTGCGCTCCGGTCCCAGGCTCAGGGGGCGGGGAGCGTGGCGGCGGTCGCCTACGCCCCCAGGGGCTGGATGGATAGATCGCTTCAGGATGGCCGGGTTCCCGGACTCTTCAAGACCCTGGCTCTAGACCCAAGGGGATCGGCTGCTCCTCTGCAGCTGGGAAGGCATTAATGCAGGGGTTGCTTTGCTTCCCAGAGAAGAGGTTCTGACCAAGTATTTCTGGAGGATAGAGACCTCATCGACCTGGCCTTTTAGGGTTTGCCGAGAAGCATAGCTGCTGTCATTGAGTCTACCCGACAACTCCTTACGGACAGAACAAGATCGAGTTCTGATTCCTTCTTGTAACCTCAGTACCGAAGTGTGAAGTAGTGATTTAATAAATGGACTGAATGCAGAATGAGCTTAAGTATGAAGATGCCTGCCTGACTGGCACATGAAGTCTCAAGCCAGGGCTAAGTATAATCGTTTCTAACAGATCTCCTCATGCCTAAGCTTTTGACTTGTTTAATAAATACTGAGTGCCTACTATGTGCAAGGCATACTGCATGAAAGGGAGAGGAAAACAAGGCAGATAAGGCTGTTCTCAGACTTTTCACTCATTTGGAAGGAGGCACAGTGTTCAGTCGCTCAGTGGTGTCTAACTTTTTGTGACCCCATGGACTGTCGCAGCATACAGGCTTGTAAATAAATAACTTCAGAGTGACAAATGCTATGAAAAAGGGTAAAACGGAGTGATGTGATAGTAACAGGGGAAAGAGCAATATAGGCAGTCAGAGAAGGCCTTTTCCATTTGCCTGAAGACCTAGAACTAGTGAGGAAGCAGCTATAAGAAGGTCTGGTCTGGAGGAAGAGCATTCTAGGCAGACAGACAGCCAAGTATAAGGGCTAAGGCAAGAATAAACTTGCCAAATTTGAATAACAAAAAGGTCATTGTGACTACAATGATGGTGGTAGATGAGTGTCAATTAGGTAGGCTGGGTCCAGACCACACAGGTCCTTTTAGGCCACAGTAACAAGTGTGGGCTCCTCCCATGCCATTTTGCATACTGTTGCCAAATTAGCATTTCAAGATTAAGGACCTTTCAGATACCTCTTCATCTTAGAAACCTCTCCACATTTTGCAGTACTTCCCAAATATCCTTAGCATGATATTCAAAGCTCTCCATAATCTAACCTCTACCTGCCTCTACAGCCTTTTCTTCATTGTATCCTGACTATAAAGTTTTTACTTAATCCGTTCAACCTATTTGTCAGCCCCTGCTCACACACTGAATATATTTTCATTTCACACCTTCCCTTTAAATTTTTATCAAAGTAATAGGCACGCATAGACAAATATTAAGAAAACCTTTAACAGCAGTCCTGTTTCATTTCCCTCCCCACCCCCATCCTAGTGTACATTTTTTAAGCTCATATTACTTCTTGATTTATACATTCTGTAGGTCTTTCAAAATTTTTAATGTATTTATCTATGACTATGCTGGGTCTTCATTGCTGTGAGCAGGCTTTCTCTAGTTGAGGGGCATGGGCTTAGGTGCTCCAAGGCATGTGGGATCTTCCTGGACCAGAGATTGAATCCATGTCCCCTGCATTGGCAGGTGGATTCTTAACCCTTGGACCACCAGGGAAGCCCTGATTTATGCATTCCAGACATTGTTTGTTGATTTCCAATTTTGATTGATGGATTTACCTTTTCTCCACCTCCCCTAACCTCTTAGGATTTTGGTTAAGAAAATATATATAGTATGTAGTATTGACATTTAAATGTTTCCAACTCTTCTTCCTGGCATTAATCATTGCCTTGCTCTTTCATTTGCTTTTTTATATAGTGTACTTATCATTAAGTCTTTCCACATAATCTAATAGCTTCTCAATTCATATTTTACTAATTCAATTAAATGTATTAGATAACCCATTGGCTTTCTTTTCTGGACCCTTCCATTCCATTGCTCTGGTCCGCACTGCTGGCTGTCTCAGCTTGTGAACAGCTCTCATCCTTTCTTTGCATCATTCTCTGCCTCTCTGTGTTGGATCCCAGTTTCCTCAATAATTTACTCCTTGATAGTAGTAAACACATCCTTTGGTAGTTACCCTTGAAAGCATGAGAGATTAAAAATTGGGGGTGAACTATTATGGAAAAGAATCTGAAAAAATATATATATTAATATGTATAAAACTAAATGACTTTGCTGTACACCTGAAACTAACACAACATTGTAAACCATCTATACTTCAATAAAGTTTTGAAAAAAATTTTTTAATTGGGGAGAAACTTGAAAAGATGAGAGTATAATTCTGCATTTCAAGTATTAATAATTTTCCTTCAGAATTCTGAGTCATTCCATTGTCTTCTAGCTTCTAGTGTTGCTATTAAGTGATCAGTTTGATCTCTTAATTTGTACAGGACTTGTTTTTAACTCTCTTTGCAAGTCTTTAGGAAGTTCTCTTTATCCCTGGTGGCTCTCAAATTTCTTAGTGATATGCCTTGGTGCTACTCACGCTAATAGGCATTGGGTGAGTACTTCCCATCTAGAAGTTCAACAATACTTTCTTGAATTATTTAGTAACATTACTACCATTTTCTTCCTGTTGTTTCTGCAACTCCTGCTAGATGTTGGACCTTCTGGATTGATCCTTTTTTCTCCTTTATCATCCACTTTATTTTTAAACGATTTCACCTTTTTGCAATATTTCTTAACGTTATTTCCAACCTTTCCCCTATCTCATCATACAGGTAAAATATTCACAATTAAAAATTCAGTAAGTATATAAGTATGGACATAGTATAATCTCCCTCCTATTTGGTTTTGTACTCCTCCAGTTTTCTAGTAGGAAAAAATTCATTTACCTATTTTTTTAATTTCCAAGAGTTCTTTTGTTCTCCAACTTTTCCTTTTCATATCATTTATTCAAAGACACAGTATCTTCCCTGAGCTTTGAGAATTATAACATTTTCATCTCTTTAAGTTTTCAGAAAGTTACTTTGTGAATTCCTTGGTTTCAATTTTCTGTTTGTTTTGATCTCTTTCATGTTGCAAGGTTCCTCAAATGTCTGGTGGCCCTTAATGGTCTATTCACATTTAAGAGTGAAATACTAAAAAACTAATTCTAAGTTCTGTCCATGTATCAGTTCAGTTCAGTTCAGTCACTCAGTCGTGTGGACTCTTTGCGACCCCATGAATCACATCATGCCAGGCCTCCCTGTCCATCACCAATTCCCAGAGTTTACTCAAATTCATGCCCATCAAGTTGGTGATGCCATCCAGCCATCTCATCCTGTTGTCCCCCTCTCCTCCTGCCCCCAATCCCTCCCAGCATCACGGTCTTTTCCAATGAGTCAACTCTTCGCATGATGTATAGGGTTTATTAAATAACCAGCTTCACTGTAGGGTGATGAGTGGGGGAAAGATGGATTTCTTTTTTTCTTGAAACAAAAATGTGTATTTGTGGGCCTTTTGTAATTGTTTTAGCCTAGGGGCTATGTCAATTGTGCTCACCTTCAGAGCCCCGCTACTCATACTTTCACTTTATCTCTCATTTTCAATCTAGCTCCTCACTCTCATCCCCACCATGTCTCCTATTAAATCCAGAGGTTCTAAAGGTTTATACTTTCCCTGAGGTTCTGCGATTTCAGGGTGCTATTTTTGTTGACTACGCTGGGCACTCACTGACTCTCATCAGTCTAGAAACTCATGACCTTTGGATTTAGGAAACCTTTATAAGTAGTTCTTTGAAAATTGCCTCCCCACCACTTCTCCAGAGACTAAAGTTCCCATTTCTCACAGAGAAGTGGGGGTAATCACTTGGTTGAATCAGATAAAGGACGGACCTGGGGGGCTTTTTCTTATACACATCTCTGATTCCCCTCCCCCCCAGCCCCAGTTCTCAGCCCCAATCTGTATCCTCCTCCTGAGCCTCTTCTAGGTTTAGAAGGGCACACTGATTTGCCTCTTGTTAACAACCACCCCTCAGCAGGTAGAGCCCATCTCATTCTGCTCTGCTAGCTCAACTTCCACCTTTCCATTTACTTTTTTTTCCCAAATATTGATGTCTCTCATTCATTGCTGTCACCTTGTTTTCCTTGTCATAGAGTCGCATGCCTTTTTCGAAGAATTCCTCTGTTGACGTTTGAAAGGGGTTTTGGAGGGAGTAAAAGCCCATGTGTTCAATCTGCCATACTCAAGTGGAAACCCTTTGCTTTGCTTATAATGTTCCCTTCTACTTTTTTTTTTTTTTGCCACTCAGGTGTCACAATCCTATAAGCCTTCTCCCTAAGCACCCAAACTAGAAGGAATATCTTCCTTCTAAAAAGTTCTACAGGCCACTTCTGATCTCTGCCACCCACTAGGTATAAATTAGAGGTATTTACAGTTATTCGTACTTAACTGCCCCATGAGGTCCATTTGTAACCTTCTCATGCTCTCTAGTCACTAGGTCCTGTATTTGACAAAGAAGAAACTGAGATTTACTGAATAAGAAAATAAATTAAGCCAAATCCTAACCACCCTGTTTTCCCCTCTTCAGAAACACTGAGTAATGCCCCTTCACACTCCTGAACACAGTTCGGTATCCCCTTCCTCACCTTACTCCTTTCTACCCAATTGAAATGAAGAAAGGCAACCATTTTATCTGATATCCAAGAGGGCCACTTGTTACTAGAGATATCTGCCAGAGTTAAGTGTTAACAGAGTCAGGATTATAGGAAAGCAACAAAGAACTGAACAAGATAAAACAGAAGGGCATGTCTCACGGTCCAAGTTAAAGCAGACAATATTGGAACCTGAGAAACTCCAGCTCTAGAGTCTAATAACAAATCCTTGCTCTATCAATTACTACTTATGGGACCTCTATGAACTTTAGACTCATCAGAAAATGGGGATAAGACCTACTTCATAGGGCTGATGTGAAGATTAACTAAAATAACACATATTAGGGGACTGCCTATTTCAGATTCCTCTGTTCTTAAGAATATCCATTGGTGGCCTGAGGTTGTATTTGCATCTGGGGGGAATTTCCCTTCACTGAGACACTGAAAATGGTGAAGGAAAAAGAATTCTGGATGAGGCTCAAGTCCTTAGCTTTATCCCCCAAGAGTCATGAGATCTTGAGCAAATTCCCTTATTTTGAAGATGAAGAGTAGCCCTGTTTCCCTGACAGTGGTACTGGATCAACTGGACAAAGCATATGATGGACTGGCAGGTGGTTAATGGACTTTACATATGGTTGGTATCATCACCCTCTGAAGAAAAGTGTTTGGACTAGGACTCTCTATGGAACCTGGTTCGGGCACACCACTCCAGGACCACAAATTGGTCCACAAAGGCCGGAAAAGAATCTAGCCCTTCCACTATCATGACCATGGCAATAGTCAACCAGCGAGGCACCACAGTACCATCTAGTGGCCACAACACCCCTCTTCTCCCTCTCCACCAGGTGGTTAAGGAAAGGCTACCACATCAGAGGTTGAGAACTCTTTGGTCACATCAATGTGCCGATCAGTCAGAGTTGGAGAGAAACCAAATATACCCCTCTCTCTGTTTTTTTAATATTAACAAATACAAGCAGCAGAGAGGGCCAACTGTTCTCTGCTATTCCCTGAGGGGAAACCAGAGCACAAATCTGTTCCTCTGGCCTTCCCCTAACCGCAGGGCTTGCTTAGCTCCTCCTCAGGCAGAGCTGTTATCCAGCCCAACTTCCCTCACCCCGACTCCCCAGTCAGGATGGGAGGCACATGGTTGCTGATGGTGGGAAGAATACTGTAGTTCCAGCCTCTGCTCCAGCCTCAGTTCAGATGGTGGTCACTCATCCTTTTGAACTAGTCTCTCACTTGTCCTGGCCCAGAAACCTTGAAGGTAATCAACAACACCCACAGGAGCAGGCAGTGTGACTTCAGTCATCTTCAGATGACTCCTCTTCTGCCTCTTTTAGCCACTGGATGAACCTCTGCAGCTGTAAGGAAGCAGAGTGGAGAGCTACTGAGGGAGACGCACATAACCCTCCCGTTCTCCTTAGTGGATAAACAACCAGAGGCCCAGGGACCAACCAGCTGGAGTCTGAGGCCAGGAGCCAGGGAACCAGACAACCACTGCAGTGACAGGAGGGCAGCCTGACTCACCTGCTGGTTCTTGCGCAACTGCTGGCCTTTGTCAGTTACCTCCCTTTGGCTGAACCAGCTCAGAATTGTTTCCTCAGCCAGGATCTCCAGTTGGTAGAAAGCCATCAGTACCTACAGAAGGCCAGCAGAGGAGGTCTCAGGGGCCTTGCAGGTTTGAAGATACAATGGATAACAAAGGAAGAGGCAACAAGATAATCCTACCAGAGGTGCCTTCCTACCAGGCCCTCAGCTGCCTCCTACACACTGTGCAGTCTCCTCCAAAATAGACAAGAGTGAGCTGTTCACTCTGATACTGGGACAGGTCTGACTTCTGTAACCATTGTTAGATAGTGCTCCACACATTCCCAGGACAACCTCCAAATGACTGCCTTACTAGCTTGGCTCCAAGCTATACTATCCCAGCATGAGCACAACACTACAGGTTGATGAAGCTATTAACCAAACTCCATATGGATTCATGTCAGTCTCTCCTGTGTCTCCATGGAGGTCACCAAAGTCTGTTTCAAAGTAAATGCAGGACTATGTGCCTTGGGGTGGTATTCACCTTGGCCATGGAAGTGCTAAGAGCTTCATGCTCCAAAAAGAAGTCCTCAATGGCTGCCAAAGATTCCAAATGATCAGCAGCACGCTTTATGTAGTTCCTAAAGACAGGGCTCCAGGCCTTGACCAACTGTGGGAAAGAGGAGAAGCTGCAATAAATTCCTGAGCATGCACCTAGACCTGGACAATAAAGAGAATCAATAATGATAACATGGGTCTTTCAAGACAAGAGGTGGTTGCCTGGTCTAGTGGTTAGGATTTGGCACTTTCGCTGCCATGACCTGGGTTCAACCCCTGATCAGGGAACTGAGATCCCGCAAGTCACAAAATTAAAAATTAAAAAAAGACAAGACAGATTATACAGGCTCTGTGGAATTATGTCAGAGGCATCTGGGAGCTGCTGGCAGGACTGGGGAAAAAGAAATTTTCAAGGGAAGGTGAAGGGGGTCAGATGCTGCAGGCTGCCTCAAAATATCTGTTCCCAGTCTAAACGTTCACCTTATTCTGGGTCAGATCATTTTCAGTCAGACAGCAGGACAATCCAGTCCATTCTGGGTGTGCCTTTGCGGTCTAGCACCACCTAAATACTGGACTCTCAAAGGCCACTCATTACTGAAACTAACTTGATTCCCCTGGACAGCCAAACCTGCTCTAGAACCCAATCTGTGTCCAGAGGCAAGGAGAAAGGAACCACAAGTAACATATATCCCATAAGACCTTCTATTCCTGATTTCCCTTAAAGTCAAGCCCCCAAAATGTATTCCTGTCTCCACTCAACCCCTTGTACCCAGCCTCAATCTTTGCTTACAGGAATCAACAGGGCGCAATAGCGGTTTGGGTCTAGCGGGGAATCCATCTGTTGCAGTGGGAACTCCAGGACCACATGGCTCAGTACTTGCATCACTTCCTTCAGGCTTATGTTGTAAGCATACCTGTGGGGAGACTGGGGTGACACCAGGGCCTTCACTGGCTCTTTCAGCATACTGTAGGACTATGACTTTGGCAGGACATTGGGGAAGAGGAAGTCAGATGCAACAAGGAAAGGGAGGATTTTGGAAGGAAGAAGTCTATGCTGAGGCTAGACTCGCTTCTCCCTGTTTCAAATGCGACCAGCCTTGTCCAGTTGGGATGTCAAGGGAACATGTTCCTATTTGGGGAAGAATCAGGAGAGAACCTCCACCACCTGGGATTACCCCGAGGCGATGAGAACAGGGAGGGGCTGCTCTTACTTGAGAGAGTTTATCTCTAGGACTAGATTGTCACAAGAAATGTTCTCCTCCTTGCCCCGCTGTAGTGTTCCCAGGACTTCATTCTGAAACACTAAAATCAAAGCAAGAGTAAGTTCATGGGCCGATATTGCTCCAGGATGCTTTAAGTCATCCAGTCCTCACTTTATGCCCAACCAAACTGGAGGTTTTCCTCTTTTGTCCCAGACACTGCTCCCTTGGCCACGTACCTTTGATGTCATCCATCTGTGGGGAGCCTGCCCGGCTGTCTAGTTCTTCAGAATCCATACTTCGCTCACTTTCAGTTTCACTCTCCTCTTCCATGTTGATTTTGAGTCCTGGGAGTCCAGAAGGGGTGAGAAAAAAGAAAACGAGAAAGCCACTGACAGAGAGCAATATATCTGCTCTGTCTGCATGAATAAATTAATGAACAAGCAGTCTGATTCTGATCCCCTGGTGAAGAAAATGGCAACTCCGTCCAGTATTTTTGCCTGGAGAATCCTATGGACAGAGAAGCCTGGCAGGCTACAGTCCATGGGGCCATAAGAGTCAGACACGACTTAGGGACTAAACCACTGCCAGTCTGATTCTGAAGTGTCCAAACTCCCTCAAAATAATCTGATTTAGATGGTGGGTGGCAGGAATGAGGCCTAGCTCACCCCATAGATTCTGCCGTAGTTCCTCCTCTTCCTCCATGTTCATGTCTGCAGCTTTCCAGAGGTAGCCCTGGCCTGCAACTCCGACTTCTGCTGGATTGTAACCTGGAAAAGACACTGATCTTTAGCAAGGGCCCAGGAGAAGCACCAACCCCTTAGGAGGAAACACTGGTACTTCTATGGGGCAGAGACACACAGATGCCCCACACCTGCTGAGTCTCACACCTTTCAGCTTCATTTTCTCCTTTTCTTGGTCAGCCCCAGAATCATCACTGAACTGACCATCATCCTCATCATCCTCTGCATCTGGAGGGTGCAAAGAGATCACCGAGCCCTCAGGCAGTGTGATATCTGGGCCTACTACCACCTGGAGGAGAAAAAAGGAATGGGTGGCACAGATCCATTAATGTGTGGGAAAAGTACTCCCAGCAAAGGAGAGTGACTTTACCTAGCCAAGTAGAAAGCAAATGAAACCACTGGATTGGGAATTTCAATTCAGGCTGGATTTGGTGGACATAGGCACTTTCTGGCTCAGCATAACCACCACTCAGCTCATGGCCTATGTGCCATGTGGAGCAGGTCTTACCTGGGAAGTGAGGACACAGCGAGGCTTCAGTGTAACATTTTCCTTGACCTCAGCATTGTCACAGAGCAGAGACTGATGAATCTGTGCTCTATCAGCCACTCGGACACCCTGCCACAGGAAGGCCTGGTCCAGCACCACATTATCACCTGGCTCAGGATAGGAAAGACTCCTGGTCACCCACGGCTCCAATTCCAGACCAGACCACTTCTCAGACCATTTGTGGAGAATGGGGCCGACTGACACCAGCAGAGCTCCCATCCAGCTCTACTACTCCATCCCCAAATCACCATAAATTCCCTCTCCCTAAGCTCAGGCCAGATACCCGGAACATTGCTCAGCCTGACTATCCTCCACCAGGTTTACAACAATTTGACTATGTACTGGACTTAAGAACCCAAGAACCTTTAAGATTTCTGGAGATCCCTTGAACTCAAGAACCTTATTAGAATCACACTCATGTCTAAAAGTAGAACCAAATTATTCTACCTCTTTTGGTACATTTTAAAGTCAGAATCTTATTGCGCTCTTAATGGGGTAGTTCCATTAGAAGCATCACTTTCTTACAACTAAAGTGAGTTATTAAGAGTATAAAGAACACTAGACTTAGAATCAACTACCTGCATTGCGTCTTATGAGCCATAACCTTGGGGGAGGACAACCACTTTTAGCCTTTTTGATTATCTCTAAAACTTATCTATAAATAATACCTACCTCACAAGGTTTTTGTGAGGATTAAATGAAATAAAGTACGCAGAAGCCCTTTGTAAACGGCAATGTACTAAACAGGTGTTATTGCATGTTAATTATCCCAGTTGGTCCTGAATGTGAATACAGGGTACCCTGGAATGTGAAGAGTCACCCAATAATAGGTTAACAGACCACAAATTAAAAGTATCACTGTTTCTACATCCCTGTTCCTTCCTTTATTAAGGCAGTCTCTCTAGTTCCTTATTCTCAGGGACTATCCCTCTGTATCCTTTTCTGGACTCATGGGGTTCCCCCAACTTCCTGCTCCTAGGATGGCCAGCTTGACCTCCCTACCTATACTCACCAATGTGACAGCCAGGGCCAATGACACTGTTAGTGATGGAGCAATTGCTACCAATGACCGTGCCAGAGCCTAAGAGCACATTTTCCTCCAGGATGCTGCCATGGCCCAGGCTGACCTCAGGCCCTCGGTAGATGTTATGTCGGGAGTGAGTGCAGCTCTGGGCTGTGCTGTCAGTGAAGTTAGCCTCTGGGGTGAGAGGGTAGACCCATCGGCGGATGACATCCGCACAGACAGCAGCATACATGTGTAGGTTGGAGACCCGGGCACCATATTCCTTAGTTGTCACATGCATGTGGATCTGGTTTCCTAAGATCTAAGTGCGGAGGAAAAAAGAAAGGTCACTCAAGCAAGCAAGACAGAAAGAACATCCCCCAGTATAATTCTCTTCTAACTTCCTTAAACTCCCCACTGCTTCTTAGTGTCACAGCCAAGTGGCCTGAGACTTTTCTCTATACTGCTTCCCTCTCATCTCCAGCTATTTTCCTTCCAGCTCAATAAAATATAAGACGAGACCAAAAGTCCCCCCACCTACCCAAGGGAAAACAAACTTTCACATTATGTGTAATGGTGGATAGTCATGTTTTTAGCAATCAATTTGTTGATTTTGAGATTTTTTTTAACACGTCACTGGTGGTCAGATGGTATTGGGGATCTGCCAAAAACAAAAAATGAATCTTCTGCTTTTGTATGTCAGTAGAGTCTACTGTCCCTGAAGTTGGTTAAAATAAAAAAGCAAATGAAGAAAGAGAGGAAAAAAGCGGCGGGCGGGCGGGGTGGGGAGGCGTCAGGAAACCAAAAGTTATCAGCTCGAGATAATAATACAGCCCTCTTCTAAAGAGGCACTGGGAGCCTTTTATTACCTCCTCATTTACTAACAGGCCTCGCACAAAGTCATCTCGTGTTTGGTAGTCGAAGTTGTCTGTAAATAGTTGAGCAACCTGTGTGGAGAAGTCAGAGGGGGCTAAGGTTAAGTACTATTCTCTGGAAGCAAACATAGCCCCCGGAGACATAGCAGATACTATGACAGCAGGACATGGGCCAGAATCCCAAGAAAGTCTGCCAATGAGCTATTGGGGTCAAGATGACAACACCTCTTTGCTATAGAACAGATAAGAGAGAGAGGGAGAAGAAATATACCTTCGCCACTTAAGGGGGTGGTAATATACCCTCGGAGTTTTACTCTGTGGATATGCAGCCTTTGCCCTGAAGAGCTCACCTGAGGAGAGCAGATGCTGATATGACAATCAAGTAAATCATAGCGAATCTCCACTCCATCTCCACTGCCCTGGAACAAGCTCTGTGGGGAGAAGTTACAAGGACTTTAACTCATCTCTCCTGCTGAAGCTTGTCGCCTTCCCACTTCAAGGACCCCAGATGACCACATACCAGAGGGAAAGAAAAACGTCGGAGGCCTTGGGTCTTCTGGAAATGGAGCACCTGATTTGTGGCACTATCCACAGCCACTACCACGTTGTCCTCATGACAACGAGTTGGGTGGCTGGGGGATGACTCCTTGAAGATCATCGTCATCACAGATACATTTTTTTCTAGCTTCCGCCTTAACCTATAAAGGACAGAAAGGAGAGCTGTCAAACAGCAGTCCTAGGGCTCTGTTGGTCCCAAACCCCACCTCTACCGTTTTCCCATCCTGACCTGTGTTCCTCCAGGGCTCTGGTAATATTGATGTTTGAGATGACATCCCCATACACCAGCAGGAAGTCAGAGCGCACCAAGGCCTTAGCATCAACATCACGGAGAACATCCCCCAGTGATCTATACAGCTCTGATGTAATTATTCGAACCACATTGAGAGATGTTGGGCGGCACCACTTGGATTTCCTAAGGGAAGGGAGGGGTGAGGGGAATGAATAAACCAAACATAAAGACCATGCAGAGCTTCCCTATTCCCCCGCCATTCAACATTCACACTCCTTTGCTGTGATTTTTTGGAGTTTCTGCCAGCATCCTCAACTTCAAAGAGATTAATGAACTATAATTAATGGTTTCAGTATAGTGTCACCAATCTTTTTTTATGGGTTAGAGAAGCATGGCTATTTCATCTCCGTTCCCTGACTCATCCCCAAACATGAATTTGAACTAAAAATCCAGCTGAGATTTAGGTTATTCGAAGTATTCTAGGGACAAACTTTTCTCTTAAAGCTCATATCAAATTTAGGAGCTGTCTGATAGAGATCATGCTAATCCCAGTCTTTATTTCCTAAGCTTCCCTAAATCCTGACAGTCACTCTTTTTCAAGAAGATTTCACTTAACATTTGTTAAGTGTTTACTATGTGCTTGGTACTAAGCTAGGTACCAGGAATACAAAGATGAGGAAGAGTTCACCATTTAGAAGCTCAGTGGAAAAACAAATATGTTACTCTTGTAACTCGCATTTTGGAGCCACCAAATAAAAAGCAAAACTCACTGGGACTAAACTTTATGAGATTCAGAAAAAATTCAAATGCTGTTCTTTAATCTTTGTCACAGTTTCAGCTGCTCACCTCCTAAGTGAAGAGAATGCCCTCAGACCTTATGATGGGATACAAATAGACACATTTTTCTCCCTCATGATTTCCCTTTAGTTACATTCTTCCTAAGGAAACCAGGGAAAAAATGGTGAAACATGGAAAGAAAAGTTGCAGAGCCTTACAGTAAATGTTCCTTGATTTGAGCAGCTTTCCAGCAACAAAAGACAAAGGTTTCCTGTACGCCTGTGGCAGTCAGAAATTCCAGAGTGTAGTCAATTAGTGCCACATTGGCCAGGGGCAAGAGGACCTGGAAGGTAAGAGACAAAAAAGTCTGAAGACTTGTTTTCTGTGAGGATCCTCTGAGAACCATTCTTTCTCCTACTTCAACCACAATTTCACTCCTCTATCAGAATTTTCAAACACTAGTTTTATCTTTCCTATTTAAAAGTAATCAGGCTCCTGCCTTTGATGTTCATGGCATGCTCTAAACATGAGTCTGCAGTGCTTAGTTGCTCAGTCATGTCCAATGTCCAACTCTTTGTAACCCCATGGACTGCAGCCCACCAGGCTCCTCTGGCCAAGGGGATTCTCCAGGCAAGAAAATTGGGAGTGGGTTGCCATGCCCTCCTCTAGGGGATCTTTACAACCCAGGGATCGAACGCAGGTCTCCTGCATTGCAGGCAGATTCTTTACCATCTGAGCCACCAGGGAAGTCCAAGAATACATACCCAAGGGAGAGGGTAGCATATCCCTTATCCAGGGGAATTTCCCCACCCAGGAATCAGACCGAGATCTCCTGCATTGCAGGCAGATTCTTTACCAGCTGAGCTATTCGGGAAGCCCAAATATGAGTCTAATGTGTTGCAATCTGGATACAGAAAGCATGGAATCTACTTGCTTAGCATCAGACAGAGCTGATACAGAACAGACAACCCTGATTTCTAATACTAGCAATCAGTCATACCTCCAGAAACTTAAGACACCACTAAGGCCTTTTTCCCTGTAAGATTTCCTTCCTTGATCTCTTTCTAAGAGCCAGGGGCTAGCCATCCCAATCAGCTGCCCAAAACAAATAGCCAGTTAGACTATTTGGAGGTGGGGTGGGGAGTCAAAGACGGTTTTCACTGAACCGAATGTAAGTCCTTTTCTTTGAAATGGGGATTGCTGAGGAACCCAGCAATCACTAGGAGTAGCTCAGTCCAATTCCCCAGTGTCTAGACAATACAGGGGATGCCAGCAACCAGCCACTGAACCCGTTCTGTTCTCCTTGTGACAGATGGCACTGACTGTCACAAAACCCGGAAAGGAAAAAAGCACACTGTACAAGATCCAAAACAGCTGTTACTATGGGACCAGACCAGTCTGCTCCTTTTTAAGGCACAGGACCTCCCTTTTGGAGGCAAAAGGAGGTGACATTCTCTTTCACCTAAGAATCTCTTTTTCCTCTGCATAAAAGCGGCGCAGCCTCCTCTTGAGGCACTTAATCCTCGTGTGAAGGCTTCTCACAAGCATTGGTCCGTGGTTAGTCCTGCGGGCCTCCCAAACGTGGAGGCGAACAGCACTACGCGTGCCCAAATCTGCCAGCCACTCACTTGGTCAGGCAGTCATCAAGGCTTTTGACGGTCTCTCCGCCTTCCTCCTAACTAGGTAAACCCGATTTCTGGGAAAGAGAGTAGGAACGAGTCCTTCCAGAGGCCGCCTCACCACACAGCTGAAACTATAACTTGCTCTAGCCCTGCCAGCTCAAGGCCCTCCGGCAGCTCTCGAGCGCATCGCTCACCCGAGGCTGGTCCTTGGAGATGGGGAAGAAGCGGCGGTTGAAGCTGTCGGCCACCAGAACTGCTTGTAGGGGAGGCGGCGGTTCCTCCTCCGCCCCTCTGGCTGCCCCACCGCTGCCGCTGCCGCCACCGCCTCCCGGTCCGCCGCCGCCGCGCTTGTTGACCCGACCGGCCAACGCATCAGGCGGCGCCACCACAGTGGCCGCCATCTTCTCTCACGGCCACAGCTTCCGCACGGAAACTGACACGGCACTCAGTAAGGGACAAAAAGATCCAGCACTCGAAATGCGAAGGAGCAGCGAAAGGAGGGAGGGCGGGGCCGAGGGCAGAAGAATGCGCATGCGTCTCCCCTAGATCTGCCTAAGGGCTGGGCTGAGAGGCAGAGAGGAGTGGGGCCCAGCGGTGCGGGTGGCGGCCAGTTGAGGCACCCGGGCGGCGAGGAGGGGTTTTATGGGGTGCAAGTGTTGCCGCCATCATTTGTTCCCGAGCAAACTGACGTTCTTAGGGGATAATGAGACTCGTACTCTCTGCGAAGCGGTTCTCAATGTGTAATCTCCACTCCGTGCTTGCGTGCTAAGTCACTTCAGTCGTGTCCAATTCTTTGCGACCCTATAGACTGTAACCCTCCAGGCTTCTCTGTCCATGGGGATTCTCCAGGCAAGAGTACTGGATTGGTTGCCACGCCCTCCTTCAGGGGATCTTCCGCACCCAGGGATCGAACCTGCGTCACCTGTCTCCTGCTTCGGCAGGCGGGTTCTTTATAACCAGCTCCCAGCACATTAAAAATTGTGGTCCTCCATTTTCTTTCTCCTCACCTAATGTGAGCAGGTACCTTGGGGAGTACAGACCGAGTAAGACATTCCTTACCCTCAGGGCACTCACAGTCTACATAAATACAGAACGTGGAATAGTAGGGAGAGTGGTAATTCTATTAATATTAAGCGCTGATTGTGGCTGGAAATGATAAAAACATTATCGCACTTAGTTCGTCATACGTCTCTGTGAGAACGTTTTATTCATTCGTTCAACAAACATTTTTTGAAGTCTCGGTGGACTCCACTGGATTAAGTGGAAAAACTGGTGTTGGAACCCGATCAGTGTGAGATTATAGCTCCATAATCTTTCTGCCAAATTATGTGTGGCTAAAATTTTATTCTTCTATGACATCTTCATTTATTCAGTCTGTCGGCATTTGTTGAAACCCTACTCTGTGTCTTAATCAGATTGGAAATAAATTTGGAACCAAGAACTGTATAAAGTTGAGTTGGACGTAAGTCACAAGACTGGAGTCTTGAGAGGTGCGGCACCCTAAGGGAACGAGGCCGTGACTGCGGTGCATCAGCCAGGCCTGCCGAAGTGCTGGACCTTGGGGACACAGTGGAAGTGGGGTGAGGCAGCTTGAGTGTCTTTTGGTTGGAAGGAGCTTTCCAGCAAGGCAGCGCACTCCTTCAACACGAGAACTATTGGTATTTGACCATGTGGCAAAGTTTCTGCAAGGGTCTTTACCACCGGTGGCCGCGTTGCATGTCGGGATTCGGAGTTCCAAAGGCTGAGATTTGTTTCCTCGCGGCGGCTGTGGCTAGGCCCGCGTTCCTCAGGAACACTCCTCGTGGGTCTAGTGGGCCTTGTCATTTCTTCCCTCTACCAGTTAGTGACGGTGCTGAATGAAAACTATTTCTTCAGAATTTTGGAAAATTTAGCTTGGAGAAGGAAAGGCAGACGGCAACTCAGTAAATGTTTTCAATTAAATGAGTATATATTGCAGAAGATGTTTGACCATCCTACAAACCCACAGGAAGAAAGAGAAAAGAGGGGTGAGTAAATAAACAGGACGCACACACAAGGGGGTTGTGTGGGGGTGTGATGAGGGTATGGAAAGCCCAATTGTAGAAAATTTTAAATGACTCCAGACTTCAGAAAGTGCTGGCTCAGAAGGTAAAGAATCCGCCTACAATGCAGGAGACGCGGGTTCGATCCCTGGGTGGGGAAGATCCCCTGGCGAAGGAAATGGCAATCGACTTCAGTATTCTTGCCTGGAGAGTCCCATGGACAGAGAAGCCTGGCAAGCTACAGTCCATGAAGTCACAGAGAGTCAGATAAGACTGATGGAGGAACACTTTCACCTCAGAAAGTGTGAGTGGTAAATCCAGGCCTTGTAATTCTGTAGACCGGTAGCTGGATAGATAAGGTTTTAACAGATGTCTCTTACAGAGACTCTTTCTTGACCTGTTGATTTTTTCTTTCTTTTTTTTTTTTTTTGCTTCCAAAACTTAACAACAATAGAACAAAAATGGGCAAAGGACTTCAATGGGTATTTCTCGAAAAAAGTTATACAAATGGCCAGCAAGCACATGAAAGGTGTTTAGCATGATTAATGATTGTGTGCTGTGCTGTGCTTAGTCACTCAGTCATGTTGGACTCTTTGCAACCCCATGGACTGTAGCCTGCCAGGCTCCTCTCTTCATGGGGATTCTCCAAGCAAGAATACTGAAGTGGGTTGCCATGTCCTCCTCAATTAATCGTTTAGTAAGTGCAAATCAAGACTACAATGAAATATCATCTTATACTCATTAGGATTATTGTTATCAAAATGAACAAACAAACAAACCCAGAAAATAAGAGGCATTAGTGAGGTTGTGGAGAAATTGGAATCTTTATATACTATTGGTGGAAATGTAAAATGGTGCAGGTTCTATGGAAAACAGTATGGTGGTTCTTCAAAAAATGAAACATACAATTACTGTGTTTCCAGCAATTCTACATCTCCGATATATACCCCAAAAAAGTGAAAAAAGGGACCTATATATATATATATATATATGTATTCATGTTCATAGCAGTATTATTTATTCATGATAGTTAAAACGTGGAAGCAACCCAAGTGAATGAATAGATAAACAAAAGGTGCTGTATATATACAGTAGAATATGATTCAGCCTTAAAAAGGAAGGAAATTCTGACATATGCTACAAGGTAGATGAAACTCCATTGTGGACATTATGCTTTGTGAAATAAGTCAGAAAAAAGACAAATACTATAGAATTCCATTTATATGAGATACTTAGAGTAGTCAAAATCATATAAACAGATAGCAGAATGGTTGGAGCTATGAGAAGGAGGAGAAAATGGGGAGTTATTTATGGGTATAGCATTTCAGTTTCACAACATGAAAAGAGTTATGTGCAAGGATGGTGGTAATAGCACAACAAAGTGAATTAAGTACTTAGTACTTAAGGCTACTGAACTGTACACTTAAAAATGGTTAAAATAGTAAATTTTGTATTATGTATACTTTACCAAAATAAAAAAATTGGGGAAAAAAGGCTTTCTGGAAACCACAAATTAACAAACCACACACATACATACACAGACACACACATAGCACATACAAAAACTACATAACAAAGTAAAAATTTCTTCCTGTACTTTTCTCACTCTATACAACTCCCAGAGTTATAACCATTACATTTAATGGGTATTCTTTCTATTTCCCTGCTAAGTTTATCTATCTAGGCATAGAGTTATATGCCTAAGCACACATACACACACACACCATTTTCATGTATTCAAATTATATATATATATGTATACACACACACACACACACATATATATATATATATATATATATATATATATAAGAGTTCCAGATGTACAAGCTGGGTTAAGAAAAGGCAGAGGAACCAGAGATCAAATAACCAACATTCATTGGATCATAGAGAAAACAAGGGAATTACAGAAAAACATCTACTTCTGCTTCATTGACTATGCTAAAGCCTTTGACTGTGTGGCTCACAATAAAATAAACTGGATAGTTCTTAAAGAGATGGGAATACTAGACCACCTTACCTGTCTCGTAAGAAACCTGTATGTGCATCAAGGAACAACAGTTGGAACCAGACACAGAAAAATGGACTGGTTCAAAACTGGGAAAGGAGTATGACAAAGTTGTATATTGTCACCCTGTTTATTTAACTTATATGCAGAGTATATCATGTGAAATATTGGGCTGGATGAATTACAAGCTGGAATCAAGATTGCTGGAGAAATATCCTCAGATATGCAGATACAGATTTCTCTCTAATCTCAGAAAGTGAAGAGGGACTAAAAAGCCTCTTGATGAGGGTGAAAGAGGAGAGTGAAAAAGTTGGCTTAAAATTCAACATCCCGCCCCCCCCCCCAAAAAAATTCAGCATTCCAAAAACTAAGATCGTGGCATCTGGTCCCATCACTTCATGGCAAATAGAAGGGGGAAAAGTGGAAACAGTGACAGATTTTATGTTCTTGGGCTCCAAAGTCACTGTGGACAGTGACTGCAGCCATGAAATTAAGACACTTGCTCCTTGGAAGGAAAGCTATGATCAATCTAGACAGTGTATTAAAAAGCAGAGACATCTCTGTTGACAAAGGTCTGTATAGTCAAAGCTATGGTCTTTCCAGTAATCATTTAAGGATGTGAGAGTTGGACAGTAAAGAAGGCTGAGCACCGAAGAATTCATGTTTTTTTCAAATTGTGGTGCTGGAAAAGGCTCTATAAAGTCCCTTATATTGCAAGCAGATCAAACCAGTCAATCCTAAAGGAAATCAGCCCAGAATATTCATTGGAAGAACCGACGCAGAAGCTGAAGCTCCAGTACTTTGGCTATCTGATGCAAAGAACTGACTCACTGGGAACGACCCTGATGCTGGGAAAGATTGAAGGCAAAAGGAGAAGGAGGCAACGGAGGATGAGATTAGATAGCATCACCGACTCAACGGACATGAATTTGAGCAAAATCTGGGAGATAGTGAAGAACAGGGAAGCCTGGCATGCTGCAGTCCAAGGGGTCACAAAGAGTCAGACATGGCTTAGCAACTGAACAACAATAATAACAGAATTTACCTCATTAGTTTGTTGTGAGGATTATATGAGATAATACATGAAAAGCCCTCAGAACACTGTTGACATATTATCAATGCAATATAAATGTTAGCTATCATTATTATTATTATTTTGGCTGTATTGTATGGCATGTGGGATCTTAGTTCCCCAAGAAAAAATTGAATCCATGCACCCTGCATTTGCAGTGTGGAGTTTTAACCACTGGACTGCCAGGGAAGTCCAAGTATTATCTATTATTATGATGATATGTTTTTGTCTGCAATTTAATTTTTATTTAATTTATGGTGGAATGTAGGTAAACTATAGCTCTTTTCAATGATTCTATAACATTCTGTAGTTTGGATATATCATTATTTGTTTCTCATCTAATAAACATTCAGATTATTTTTGCAGTTTTTTCTATTATGAATAATGCTGCAACTATTAAT